CGTAGCATGCTATGGAACTCTTCGAATTTATAATACGTTCTTCCGGTTGAAACTTTATGCTAATTTTTCATATTAACAAATAAATAAGTAAATAATAAGTAGATAAATAAATAAATAAATGAAATGAAATAAAAAATAAAATATCTATCTAAAATAAAAAATAAAATAAATAAATAAAATAAGATAAAATCTAATATAAAAATTAAAAAATACCTAAAACAAAATAAAATAAAATCTTTATATAATAAAATAAAATAATGAAATGAAATAAATAAATAAGATAAAGTAAGGTCTGACATAATGTATAAATAAAATCTTTTTATTTTATTTTATTTTAAATAGGTTTTTTTAGGCAATTAGATAGAATTTTGCTTTTATCCCATCCTAAATTTCATGAAAAAAACATCTCTGATTTAATTCACATTCTTTTAAGTAATAATTATCCTCTTAAATTCATATTTTCAACAATAAAAAATAGAATAAAAAAGGGAAAGTAGAACCAATTTAGATCAAAATTGTAAAGAAAATAATAATGAACGTGATTCTAATGCAAATTCAAAGAAAAAATTTTTCACGATACCATACTTAAGCAAAGTATCTGAAAAAAAACTTTCACATATTCATGATTTTAATATAGCTTATAAATCTATGAATAAAATGAATACATTTATAAAGACTGGAAAGGATCCTTTGCTTAAGGATGACCATTGTGGAGTAGTCTACAAAATTAATTGTTTAAATTGTGAATCTTTTTATGTTGGCCAAACAAAAAGGAAATTAAAAACTCGTATAAAAGAACATAAGGCTGACATAAGAAAATCCACTTCCGAGATATCAGTAGTTTTACGTCATCAGTTGAATGAAATGCATGAATTGGATTGGAATAACATAAGAATTTTAGATACAGAACAATCATTAATGAAAAGAAGAATTTCTGAAATGATATATATAAAAGGCCAAACAAGTGGTATCAATAAGCAAAGTGACACGGAAGGTTTGCCTGATGTTTATCTGCCTCTTCTTAAGAAAGATCTCTCTCTCTCTCTCTCATTTAATAAATAATTCTAGAACTTTCTAAACTTTTGACTAAGAAATTATGCAAGATATGCTTTGCGCAGTAAGTTGTGGAGCGCGCCGACAAGACGCCAAGCGAAATGGAGCGTCGCACGCGCGCACAAAAATATCATAACTTTTGAATGAATTGTACAGAAATCAGGCAAAACGCGTTGAAAAGCTGAAATCTTCATATTTCATAAAAGATTCTGTAAGTTTTTATCGTCGAGCAATACTTTTCACGTAAGAAATTATTAAAAATACGAAATATTTTTTAATCTTTTCTGTATAAAATTTCTTACTCTTTAATTTTCCTTATATTTTCTTGATAAAATTGATATTTATCGAAATATTTGCAAAAAACCGAAATTTGGACCCTATTTGTTTAATTATTTTTCTTAGCGGCCACTACAATGGTAAACTTTTTTCTCTTTCAATCTTATGCAAAAATAAAGATTTGTGCAAAAATTCCGCTCAATTTTCGTCTAAATTGACTGTAGTATATGATATAAAATAAAATCTATTTAAAATAAAATAAAATAAAAAGATTTTATTTATATATTATGTCAGATTTTATTTTATCTTATTTATTTCATTTAATTATTTTATTTTATTATATAAAGATTTTATTTTATTTTGTTTTAGATAGGTATTTTTTAAATTTTATATTAGATTTTATCTTATTTTATTTATTTGTTTTATTTTTTATTTTAGAAAGATATTTTATTTTTTATTTTAGTCATTTATTTCATTTTATTTTTTATTTATTTATCTACCTATTATTTGCTTATTTATTTATTTGTTAATATGAAAAATTAACATAAAGTTTCCAATCAGGAAAACGCATAGTAAGTTCGAAGAGTCCCATGACATGCTACGCTACTGCATACTCTGGCTGCGCACAATCTGATTGATCAATTTTAATCGTTAATAATTCGGTAAATAATAGTCTGAATCAAAATTGACAAAGGAACTTTTAGTTCACAATTTCATCCTCTTTCGTTCCTCGAAAGATTAATTAAACGTTATAGGACTATACATATATATCGTGTTTCATTTTCTTTGCTTGAGGCAAATATCTCAAAAAAATACGGAAGATACAGAAAAAATGTTTCAGATAAAAGTTGTATGGTTTTGAGGACATAAAGATTATTGATTTATTAATTTGATGTTGAATAATTGTTTGAAGGTCACATAAAGATCACTTTTAATTTCTGCAACCCCCTATTTTTCATTACATTTTCTTATAATTTATTTCAAGAGTTTTCCAAAACACTAGAATGAAATATTTTTTCATGAAATACTTTTCGAGATATGAGGCTTGAAAATCACAGTATGTGCCGGCATTAGCATTATGCAAAATATCCGATCGACGATGAAACTTCTTGAATGTTGCTTAAGATCATGTCTTGGATAATATTTGTTAAGATCAAGACCATTGCAGGTTATACAGTAGCCGCTAAGAAAAATAATTAAACACGCACGCATGCACGCACGCACGCACGCATATACAGTGTGTTTCATTTTAAGTGATATGGTCGATTATCTTGCGAATCGATAACTTTATTGAAAAATTTTTTCTACTAAAGTTACATGGCTTCCTCGAAGGAAGACATATGATGGAAATATGGACTTAACCTTGAGTGACCTTGTTAAAATCATGTCAAGGTCATTAATTTTTTTAAATGAAAATCCCTATTTTTTTATTACATACTCTTGTAGCTTATCTCGAAAGCTTTCCAAAATATTATAACAAAGTTACGTTTCATTGAGTATTTGCCAAGTTATGGAGCTTACAGTACCGCCGGCGTTATCTATGTACGCATGTGAGCGGGATTCTTACGCGCGCGATCTATCCGCGATCTATCTACACTGCTTGACATATATTCACGCGCACGGAATTGAGTCTAATCTTTCCCAATTAAACGATTCAACTTTCCTCTTTCTTTCATATAGCTTTTTCTTTCAATTGTTTTTATATTAGTAGGCTTTTTCAAAGCTTTTTTCAAAATGGCCGCTTACAGTTCAAATGAAATCGTTAATAGTATTCTTATGTTTGGTAAAGCTGGACGAAATTATTGTAGAGCAGAAAGATTGTATCGTAATAGATATACGTTTAGACGACATCCAAATGCAATGCAGATAAGAAAAATTTTATTAAGAAAGCGTAGAAGAATCCGTAAGAGAAACCGCAAGCAAATGCTGAAGATGACATTAATGCGTGTATTAGCAATGCTAGCAATAATGAACTTGAATTCTCATATTTCGACTAGAGAACTGCAACGTAATTTAGAAATTCTTTATGTCACTATGTTGAAGGATTTTACAAAAACATAAATTCCATCCCTACCACATCACTTTAAGCCAAGATATAAGAGAAAATTATATGAGACTAAGAAGACAATTTTGTCATTCAGCGTTACAAATGATAAGAGAAGATCCAATTTTTTTCTAGTACGTTCTCTTCAGTGACGAAGTCTCATTTCATAACAATGGACAACTCAACAGGCATAACTGTCATTATTGATCCACATACAATCCTCACTAGACTCAACGTGTCGATAATCAACATCGTTGGAGTTTAAACACTTCGTACGGAATTGTAAATGGATATTTGATTGGTTCATACTTTTTTGATAACCATTTAAATGGGGAAACTTATCTTTCTTTCTTGCAAAATAAATTGCCTAAGCTTTTAGAAGAGGTTGATCTTGCTAATTGACAAAAAAATGTGGTGACAGCAAGTAGTGCGCCACTCCATTCTCATCGTATTGTGACAGAATACTTCAATAACATCTTTCATGAAAGATGGATAGAGAAATATGAATATATTCGATGACCTCCACGGTCTCCTGATTTAACTTCGCGTGATTTTTTTTGTGGTACTACATAAAAAATATTGTTTACAAAACTCCGTTGACATCTACAGGAGACATGAAAAATCGAATAACTAATGTTTGTCGTAGCATTCTTCAAAATATTTTAATTTCAACAGTAGAAAATTTTGAGAAACGATTGAGACTATGTCTACAAGAAAATGGAGCTCCATTTGAACATCTTACGACTAAAGACAAATTCGAATTGATCTTGCGTTAGTTGGCCGGATCAGTCTCGATTTTGTTTTAATCGACTCGGATCAATGATCGGTCTTGCCTTAGTTGGCCGGATTAATGATCGGTCTTGCTTTACTCGGCCGGATCAGTGATCAGTCTTGCCTTAGTTGGCTGGATTAGTGATCGATTTTGTCTTAGTTGGCCAGATCAGTGATCAGTCTTGCCTTAATCAGTCGGATCAGTAATCGGGCTTGCCTTAGTTAACCGGATCAGTAATCGGTCTTGCCTTAGTTGGCCGGATCAGTGATTGGTCTTGCCTTAGTTGGTCGGATCAGTGATTAATCTTGCCTTAATTGGCCGGATTAATGATCGGTTTTGTCTTAGTCAGACAGATCAGTAATCGGTCTTGCCTTAGTTGGCCGGATCAGTTCCGAACTTGTCTTAATCGGATTAGTGATCAGACTTACCTTATAACTTAACAAGTACTTAACGAAAAGTAACTTTATTATAGTGTTTTGGAAAGCTCTCGAGATAAGCTACAAGAATATGTAATAAAAAATAGGGGTTTCCATTTTAAAAAATATTGATGACATTGACTTGATTTTGACAAGGTCACTCAAGGTCAAGTCCACGTTTTCATCATGTGTTCCTTTTCTACTCAGTTTAGTCCGCTCTACCTGCTCGGGAGTGGGGTCATATATTCATGACACCTTATGTATGTGTGTGTGTGTGTATATATATATATATATATATATATATATATATATATGTGCACACATATATGACACACACACACACACGCACATAAAATACAGGATGTCTGAATTTAAATGTCAAAACTTGGAGAGCGTGTAGGAAATTGATGGACTAAAAAGTCCTGTAGAGATTGTTCGTTTTGGAGAAAATCGTAAAAAAAAATAAAATGTTGCTTTATTCTTGCACTCTAAAGTATTATCATCGCTAAAATCGTATACAAAATAATAATTCCGTTTTCAGGTGAAATCTTTTTTTGTTTGTTGTTATCTAGCGGGATCATTTTTTTTATTCGACAGATTAAATATAGCCAGTGTTTGAAATTGAGATCGGCGCTATCGACGTTCTTATTACTCGCCACTCGGCATCCACTCGATCGAAGGGACGGTGGCGCTTTGGGCCCTATTTAGTTTCGGCCGGATGGTCTCCTTGCCAGCCAGCCATATTGCGGATGCGTGCGCAGTTCGTCACGATCAACCATTACGTTTTGTCGAGCTCTCGAAAAAGGACACGAAGCACGAAGTCATATTATTTTACTGTACGAACCTGTTTATAACAAAGGAGAATGCGACCATAGTAAGTGAGTTATCCTTTAATCAAAAAGCGAATCAAATCACTAAAAACATTGGTCCTTCGAGCCGGATATTCGCAAAATCGAAATACAACAAACCGCCATAAGTACAAGAGTCGTACGGTCGTATTGTCGCACATGACATAACACAGCATCGAGATAAGTCTCCGACCTTCCTCTCATCAGTATCCCTGTTTAATTCATCACTGCATTGTTACTCATGATGTCGGCGCAAGTATTAAAGGCACTCAAGGCCAAACGTGCGGTGATAAAGGCACAGTGTACACGCACGCGGAAAGCGATAGACGTCATAGATCCACAAGCAGTGGGTATCGCACATAAGCAGCGAAGAGAGAAATTTACCAGTTATTAATGTCAATTCAATGAATTTCAATTGCAAATCGCCGAGCTATTAGAGCTTGCGAATGACTTAGAAAATGTCGAAGATCTCAAGGTCGAACAAGAAGCGGAAGATGCAAACTTCGAAGAAAATTATTTCAGTATCGCCGGTAAGATCGACGCTTTGTTAGCCTGTTCGAGTGTGTCTGCGAGTGTAAATGACATGCAAGGTAACGCGGTAGAATCACGCGCTCTCGAACAGACACCACATCAAGGTTATACCCGCGATCTCAGTCAAGTCCATTTACCGAAAATCGCGATATCAAAATGCTAATTACGAGGATTGGTATCCATTTTATAACACGTTCGAATCTATGATTCACTTGAACCCGAAGCTAACGAATATTCAGCGTTTCCATTAATCTCTTCGCTCGAAGGCGACGCCGCGCACATTATCAAGTCAATTCAAATTACTCCTGATAATTACCGTGAGGCCTTAGAACTATTAAAACAACGTTTTGACGATAAACCCGTCATTGCACAAGAACATATAAGGACGTTATGCAATTTGCCTGTAGTACCAAAAATGGATTACGTGTCATTGAAAAAGTTAGGATGACGTACTGCGTCATTTACGCTCTCTAAAAATCTTGGGTAGGTTAGCTGATAACTGGAACGACCTCGTTCAGCTACTATAATTATTACAAAATTAGACTCGAATCTTATTAGCGATTGGAAGGATCACATCCCGGCAGGTGAGATGCTCACGTTAAAAATGCTAACTGACTTTCTGTCACATAAGTGTAAAATGATATCAATCGTATCTAACAGGCCGTTAATGAAGCAATAGCGTCGAATCCACGTAAATCTAACAAAATTTCTAGCGCTCATGTATCCACTTCTAATATTTATTGTGCCTATTGCAAGGGAAAACATTACATTTTTCAATGTCCAAATTTTTTAAAGCTGTCATGTGAAGACAGGAACAAACAGGCCAAGGTCAGACAGTTATGCTTCAACTGCCTACGATCCACCTCTTATCAAGCCAGAGATTGTAGGTCGTCTACATGTCAAACGTGCAGCAAGAAACACAACACATTGCTTTACATGCAGGACAAAGCGCACCAGGAGACAGAATCCACGAATCAGCCCAGTCAAACAAGCAATTCTGGCACCGTCGTTTTAACGCATCATGTCGCTCCAGATAAGTACCAACAGGTCATATTATCCACAGTAGTCGTCAATGTTTATGATCAACATAGTAATACGCCTACTTGTCGAATATTATTGGATTCAGGGTCTCAATCCAATTTCATCTGACAGCTTCGCCAAAGGGCTGAATCTCACTCGGAAATAAGCTAACATGTCCCTCACAGGAATAGATAAGTCTCAAACGCTCTCTAAGCATACAGTCAACGTACAAATCAAATTAATTCACACATCATTTTCGCGAAACATTCAATGTCACGTACTAAATAGCATCACTAAAGATTTACCTCCGACACATCAATATCCGCGATTTTAAAATACCAAATAATATACGTCTTGCTGACCCTCAATTCCATACGCCAATTCCAGACACAATAGACATGCTCATAGGCGCTGAGATCTTCTAGCAATTATTACGTAGGACAAATCCGTGTGCACAAGAATTTACCCATATTACAAAAAACCCAGTTAGGTTGGATCATCGGTGGCAAAACATACAATGATGGTCCAGTCAGGTCCGAAATATGCATCTTGTCAATCAATCAACAGCTCAACCAAGCAGTGGCCAAGTTTTGGGAAATGGAGTTCGTCACCAACGAAGTATGTAAGTGTTTAATCCTGAAAAAAGAAACTGCATAGAACACTTTGCGGAAACTGTCACAAGAAATATGGGTGTTTCGTCGTACAAATGCCTGTTTATGAAGCCAAGCTACAACAATTCTGTGTGAATCTCACAGTACAGCAGAACAAATTTCTCAGCTTAGAACGCAAACTACAGAAACAGCCAATGCTGAAGGATCAGTATATACATTTCATGAATGAATACTTAACGTTAGATCACATGGAACGCATCGCAACTGAACAAGAATTGGAGCGCATTCCGCACTACTACATACCTCATCACGTTGTATTGAAAAGCAGTAGTTTAACCACTAAGCTACGTGTGGTATTTGACGCCTCATACAAGAGCAGCGCCGGAATTTCGCTCAACGAATGCCTTTCAGTAGGATCCATCCTCCAAGAGGATCTGCTCTCGATCTTACTACGCTTCCGTACGTTCCGATATGTCATTACGGCTGACATTGCCCAAATGTATCGACAAGTGGCAATACACGAATCACAAACGTCACTTCAAACAATTTTCTGGCGAAACGATTCAAATGAAGAGCTAGCAGCATTTGAACGTGACATATGGCACAGCATGTGAATCCTTTCTAGCGGTGAGGGCGATGCAGGAATTAGCTAACATATACGCACTGACCTATTCATTGGATTCAAGCATCAATGACTTCTATGTCGATGATATATTGTCGGCAGCCGACACTGAGCAAGAAGTTAGGAAGTTACAAAGCGAAGTCATCAAGATATTAAGCTCGGGAGGCTTCTATCTCAGGAAATGGGCGTCTAATTGTCTTAAATTATTACAGGACATATCTCACACTGACATTTGTGAGCCGATTCACTTCATTAACGGACGAGGTATCTACGCTAGGCTATGCATTGGAACACGAGGATTGACGATTTCCAATATCATATCAACCTTTCTAATCACACTAAGATAACGAAACGAAGCATGCTGTCCGTTATCAAGAATATTCGATCTTTTAGGACTTTTAGGCCCTATAATATTCACAGCCAAAATGCTTATACAAAGGGTCTGGCGACTTGACCTGGCATGAGATGAGATCGTACTCATGAGCCTACATACCGCATGGACGGAGTTCGATTCACAGTTACATTTGGTCAGCGAACTCAAGCTGCCGCGTTACGTAGCATGCAAGGACGCAGTCAGTATTCAAATCCATGGCTTCTCTGATGCGAGGGAGAAGGCTTATAGGGCATGCGTTTACTTTAGAGTCATCGGTGTACAAAATCAAGTCTACGCGACTACTATGTTCAAGGTCTCGCATGGCTCCTCTGAAAGCAATTATTCTCTCGCGGTTGGAGTTGTGCGGCGCAGTACTATTGACACAACTAATGAACAAGATTTTGAGAGCAATACGTTTCAAACCAAAGGCAATTTACTATTGGACAGATTCTACAATAATGATACACTGGATAAAAGCTACAGACAAGAATTGGAATATCTTCGTCGCCAATAGGGTCAGTGAAATCCATCGACTATCTCAAGCAAGCACTTGGTTTCACGTTGCTACAGAATGCAACCCAGCATTACGTATCCAGAGGCTCCCTTCCGTCAGTTTTAATTAATTCAGCCCTCTGGTGGTCTGGCCCACCATGGCTGGAAGGGGAAGCTCAGTCCTGGTACATAAACATTCCGCCCATATCACTCAACGAATTACCGGAACAAAGACGCGTTCTCAAAACTATGATCACTATTGAGGATAGACCAGAACTATTTGAAAGATTTTCATCACTAAGTAAGCTAATCAGAGTCACATTGTCTAAGGTTCATAAACAACGCGAAGAATAAGGGAGTCAGAACCGCGAGTCGCATAACTACACAGGAGCTAGTGAACTATCCAATCTATGCCTCGTAAAAATAGTTCAAGAGGGCGCATTCAAACAGGACTTGCATGCACTGAAAACACAGGGAAGCGTATCACGAAGAAGCAAATTGTCATGCTTATCTCCATTTCATCGACGAATTTGGCATTATCAGAGTAGGCGGACGCTTGCAGATGGCAACGATGCCGTATGATGTAAAACACCCAATTCTGCTTCCAGCCAATCACCCATTCATATATTTGGTCATACGGTATGAGCATCAAAGGCAACTGCACGCAGGGGCGCAAACTACATTAGGCGCTATTCACAACAAGTATTGACTCTTGTCAGCACGAAACACCATTAAGAAGTGCATCAGGGAATGCATGATTTGTCGCAAGGCAGATCCACGTGTTTCCGAAGCAATCATGGGTGAATTGCCTGCATACAGAGTTACACCATCGAAACCATTTAAACACAGCGTGTAGACTACTGCGGTCCGTTTTACATAAAGTCCGGACAACTTCGCAACGCCAAAACAGTAAAGGCGTACGTAGCCGTTTTCATATGTCTAGCTACGAAGGCCGTTCGCATCGAATTGGTGAACAACCTGTCCACCGAAGCATTTCTGAACGCTCTCAAGCGCTTTATAGCCCGTCGAGACAAGATACTACATATATATTCCGATAATGATACGAATTTTCAAGGAGCATCGAATGCATTAAAGGAGATCTATCATATGCTTCGCAGCAAGGATCATCAAGATAGGTTGGACAATCTGCTGAGAGAAGATTGCATCGAATGGCATTTCATACTGTCTCATGCTCCTCACTTTGGTGGCATTTGGGAGGCCGCGGTTAAATCCACAAAACTTCACTTGAAATGCGTCGTCGGTGACGCAACACTGACATTCGAAGAAATGTACACGGTGCTTACCCAAGTCTTGAGGCAGTCTTAAATTATCATCCAATTACACATTTATCCAAATACGATTCCACGATCCTAATGATCTATCCTACCTAACATCTGGACATTTCCTGGTCGGAGACGCTCTTACTGCTGTGAGACGTGACACATTTACCCAATAATAGACTTCTACGTTGGCAACGAGTTAGCCAAATATTTCAGCATTCCTGGAGCAGGTGAAGTCGTGAGTACCTGCAGCAATTACATCAGCGTATTAAGTGGCAGCAATCCAAAGGGCTACACTCAATCACTGGCGACATGATCATAATTCAGGAGAACGACTCATTGCCACTCCATTAGGCAATCGGACGCATAGAGGACGTGTACCCTGGCACAGATAGGATACTTAGTGGTTTCAGTTCGAATTGCTAAGGGAACATATAAAAAACCGATAACCATAATATGTATACTACCAATGCGCAAGAAAGACTAATTATTCAGTCGTCTATATGCGCGCAATATCCTTGCTTATTAACACAATAGCAACAAACATATCTTTAGTTTACGTTTTTGTATTACTAATTTTTTTTTATTTCAGATTTAAGTTACTTTGTGATTTCTCATTTATTTTGATAATCGCCACTCATCCAGGACAACAATGCATGCTACCATTTAAAGGGCTTGACCCTTTCAAGAGGGATATGTTTGAGATTGAGATCGGCGCTATCGACGTTCTTATTACCCGCCACTCGGCATCCACTCGATCGAACGATCGAAGGGGTATATTTAGTTTCGGCCAGATGGCTCCCTTGCCAGCCAGCCATATTGCGAATGCGTGCGCAGTTCGTCACGATCAGCCATTACGTTTTATCGAGCTCTCGAAAAAGGACACGTGTAATCACGAAGCATATCATTTTATTGTATGAGCCTGTTTATAACAATAAAGGAGAGTGCAACCATAGCAAGCGAGTTATCCTTTAATCAAAAAGCGAGTCAAATCACTAACAAACAGATATACAGATTTTCTGGAAACTGACTTCTTTGATTATTTAGAATCCGCAGAATCTGCAGTAACGGATTGTAATATAGTTTCAACTCGATGGGTGTCCAGCTCATTATGGCAGAACTACTCGAGCTTGGCATCTGATCTGACATCACTGGACTTCTTTGGCTGTGTTCCAAATTTGCTGCCAGCACTGAAAATGCTACATTTTACATGCACTATAGATTTTTAGTGGCAGTCAATTTTCGAACACAGCCTTTGTGTAGGGGTCCTGAAGCAGGAAGTTTATTCCTGCTTTATAAGTCGTCAATCAACTCAAGAGAACAACTGATAAATCGAATCGAGGCTGCAGTGCGTCAAACATCGCCATATCAGTGTTTAGCTACAACGAGCTATCCGTATTAACTATAATGCTGCAAGAGGCATATTTTGAATATCTACATTAAGCAAATGAATAAATAAAACGCGAATAAGTAATAAGAAAGTATAAAAATAAAAACTACGCTTTGTCTTTTTTGCGATTTTCTTCAAAACAAAGCAAAAAACGAGGATCTCTCTCAGAACTTTTTTTCTTAGTTTATCGATCCCCTACGCGCTCCTAAAGTTTTGACATTTAAATTCCAGACACCCTGTATATATTAGGTCGGGGAAAAAGTTTCTTCGTATTTAAAAAAATTTTTTTGTAAAAATTTTTCATTTGTTGCAAAATTTTTGTTACAATTATATCATCGGTTAGAGCAAAGTTTCAGCTTTAAGAATCTATTTTAAACTGCGGTATAATGATTTTTATCGGAGTTATGAGTAATCAAGTCAGAATACTTCTTTACTTAACTCGCGAATAACTCAGGAACAAAAAATCATAGAAACATTTAAAAAAATGATTTTATAGGGAAAGCTTCAAGCTTTCACAAAAAGTAGTCGAAAAGTTTTGTAAATTTTTTTGGGCACGTAAGAGAACCCCAAAGTAAAAAGAAAATTTTTCATCTTTTTCAGTTTGTAGTTGTTTAAATGTAAAAATTACCAAACTCACAGAAATATAACAAAAAATATAGTAATCCGTCGAAAGTAAAGATTTCAAGCTTTAAAATTGTTTTTTTTTTTAAATTTCGTTCATTTTTGACGAAGATATTGTATATACAATTTTGAATTAAAAAATACGAAGAAACTTTTTCCCCAACCTAATATATATGTGTATATGTATATACTTTGAAAATATGAAGACCCACATTTTTTT